GAAAGTAGCCTTTGACAATCTTGTACGCTTTTCGGCTCTGTTTCATGTTGGTTTTGGATGCTATGGAAGATTGTGTGGGGTTGAAAATGGAGGGAAAGCCTGGAATAGTAGATGGGAGGTGAGGGTGTGCACTGTTGATTCAATCAATGGTGCCATTATCACTACGTGGTGGACCGGTGGTGGTGTTGGGAGGAATTTGACAAGGAGAGGAGCCACAGTGTTGGAAAGGTGGAAGAAAGTTTTTTATTTTTTGAAACTCACTGGAATACTTAGGTATATACTTGTTGCCACCTATTTGAAACTCACTGGAATACTTAAGTATATACTTCTTTTCAACACTAGCATTACCTTTAAAATTACATTGCCCGTGCATTGCACAGGCGACAAACTAGTAATAATAAGAACATCAAAAATAATTTTTGTTTGACTTGGTACCAGACAGACTATTATTTATACATTCATGCAATCTTTTTCTACAACTGACTGTAAATTAAGATACATTCACACAGCTAAGTGAAGCAGAACCAAAAGGATCATCTTCATCTCATCAAGTGAACCTCAAGTTTTCAACAAAACTATATCTGATTCCACTAAATCACACAGATGCTTAGCTACTTGTGCATTTGTTTACATTTATACGACAAAACTGATGAGACAAAAGCGAAATTCCTACCGAGGAAGTGTGACCCACAAACATTCAATATTAACAAAAAACGCATTGTAACCCTCGAAATTTCAACATTTACGAGCACATATAAACAAGCACTTAAAACAACCTTAGAGCCTGCTGGGAGTTTCGTGGTATCGGTTGTGAATGTTTTTTAAAGTACCCATTTTGAGCATTTATGAACGGATCGATTTTCAGTAATTTTAGTAACAGTTTTTAAAACTTTCCAACATATGCTTAAGAGTTAATTATCTATCGGTTCTGAAATTTTTTTAAAATAATAAAATTACATATATATCCTTCAGTAAAATTTTATTTTATATGAAATTTTTTTACTCATAAGAGATATTTTACTTATAGATAATTTTTTTACACATAAGTTAATATTTTTAACTTATTAGTAACTTTTACAATTATAAGTTAAATTTTGACTTTTAAATAATTTTTTTACTCATGAGTAACTTTTTACATTTTATAAGTATTTTTTGTCTTATTAGTGATATTTTTATTTTTTTAATAATTTTTTTTTACATAAAAGTGATTTTTTACATATAAGTAATTTTTAATTGTAATTTTTAATTGTAATGTAATTTTTCTTATCTTACAAGCAATATTTTACTCATTATAATATAATTTTTAGTTAATATATTTTAATTTACAATTTAGCCCATGTTTGGTCCCCATTAAATTAAATTACATTACATTAAATTTTTCCCTCTTCATTACAACCACATATTCATCAAATAAAATAATATTACACACAAATCTAAAACTTTTCATTACTTTTCCACCACATATTCTCCCATCAATCACTATTCCAAAAATTTTCAACCATAAAAAATGCAAAATAATAGGGGTCAAACAGGGGCTTAGTTTTAAACAAAATAAGTTAGTTGGAAATAATAATTTTATAAAGGGTAAAATTTGAAGAGAACAAGAGAAACGGCCAAAATCCATCGATTTGGTGGGTTGAAAG